GTATTGTTCAACAGCACATACTTTCTCGCATTTTTAAAAATCTTCACTTTTCGAAAATTTAGATATTTCAACGAAAATGAAACCAGTGTCATTCTTTCAAGGATTTGTTGTTTTATCCGTGAAAAAGAAAATTTAAAAAATGGAGCGTTTTTGAGAAAATGCTTTTATAACATTTTCTATCAGCAGAAATTGCGCACTTCAAGCAGAAATTGGCAGAAAAGTACTCCTTTTTTTTAGTTCATAGACTTTTTTAAAGATTGTTTCTTAGAACAGATTTCATTAAAGACAAAAATTTTTATCTTCAACTTTGGTACTTCAGAAATGTTAACTTTCCGCAATTTTTCGCCGAGTGTTCGCCGAAAATGGGACTAGCACTTGTACATGACCTTATTTCAATACCTGTCTTTAAAGAACACATTTTATTAAGGAAAAAATCTCCATCTTCAATACAGTAATCGTACGATAAAAACTGAAATGTCGATAAAAATTGAACTTCTACAATTTTAAAGAAATTAGGGATTTCAACGAAAATTAGACCTACGCTCTTCTTTCAAACGTCCTTCACGCACTCCAAGGAGAAAGTGTGATCAAAAATTTGGAGCCATTTTTAAGAAATTTTAGAAAATGATGTTTAGGCTCCATGTAAAGTAACCTAGAAAATCAATATATCAGTTTTAAACTCATAGGGTCTCCAGATCCTTTAAATCAGTGGGAGAATATCAATTTTGGAGAAAATCAGCTGAAGGGTTTTGGCGCTAGCGTTGTGTGCAGACGGATAAAGTCCTTCACCAAACGAGTGGTCATCAGTGGCTAGGCGTTTGCCAGTGTGAGCGAGGTGACCGAGTATTGAATGCTATACATGCACGCTCCAGAACTCAATAAAGGTCATATTGGTTTTCAGTGCAACATTTCTGAATTTTATATTCCAAGCAGAATGAATGATTGGGGCCCGCCAGAAATTGGTATGAGCTGCGCGGTCATGGAGTTTGCAAGGTTAATTAGATTCTCATATTCATGTTATGAAACCTAGGTTGTGCCGCAGGCACCGGCCATCATTTGAGTGCACATCCGCATTTAATACCAGACTTAGATGAAGGATAATGGAGAGCGTATTAAAGTAATAAGCTTTGTTTTTTCTTAATAGATATAATAAGTTATATAATACTCGCCAAATGAAATTATATATAACAGGTGAAAGGATAAATGTACTTATAACCTTTAATAATGAAATATCAAAAAGTTAAGGTCTTGTTCGATAATATTCTGAGATACATTTATTGCATTAAAGTCATAATGATGATTTTCTTCTTGCTCTTCTTCTTCTACTTATTATTATTATTATTAAGTCGACATGGAAAAGTATGTAGTCAGTCATGACCCTCTAAGTAGGCAAGTTATGAAATCTGACCGAAGAATGGCAAACTGAGGTATTTAGTGTAGCAAGAAGCATTGCAAAGAAAACTATGCAAGACACGCAGAATAGCACACACATTGAACTTCTGATGCTACTACACACGAATCGTGTGACACAAAAAATCTTAAAGAAAGCATGAAGAGACAAACCACTCCATGGACAATATCTAAAAATAATGGATAATGTGCAGATCAATAAAGATCAATTATTTATGTGGCTTAAAGGAGAAGAATGAAGCCAAAATCGGAAGCAGTTCTCATAGCTGTTCAGGGCCAGGCGTTGAGAACACGGCAATTTGATAAAGCGATTCTCAAAATTTCCCACGATGATAAATGCCGCATCTGCCAGGAACAAGTGGAAAGCATTGATCATATCGTCTCAGCTTGTACAATTCTAGCAAAGACCAAATACTTGTAAAGACACGACAAGGTGTATAGTTACCTCAACTGGTAGATCTGTACCGTCCTCGAAGTTCCAAACACATGCCCCAAGCGGTACGAACGCTCACCAAAACCGGTGACATCTGTTGGACACTACACAATATTGTACGACCAAGAAATTCAAATGCTTCACACGATAGCGGCAAACAAACCAGATACTGTTATCCGGGATTTGGAGAAAAAATCGTGTCAACTTGTAGATGTTAGTGTGCCTTGCGATCAAAACGTCGTATCCAAGGAGGCAGAGAAACGTCTTAAATACAAGAGTTTGGAAATCTAGATCAGCTGAATGTGGGGGCGTAAAAGCACAGGTCGTACCGATAGTCATAGAAGAACTTGGCTTAACTCCCAGGTCGTGGGCGCAAAGTGTAGTAGAGGCACAAGTCATTGGTTCTGCTTCTACGGTAGCTGGTTGCAACCTGGAGTAGATTTTATATTCAGCCAACTTATAACATCATAGCCGTGATGCAGAGGAATGATAATAATAATAATAATAATAATAATAATAATAATAATAATAATAATAATAATAATAATAATAAAGGCAATGTAATTGAAGGAGTCTGACAAATTGGTGTTAGCCCACATATCTGTAATGTCTGCCATCTAGAAGTATAGTAGTTTACGTCAAAAGGGCGCGGAACAGGCGTTTCAGTCGACTTCGTCGTCCGACCGTAGGAAGATTTATTCACCAGTATAAAAAAATATGACACGAGTTTTCAGCTGGTTTAATTTTGCGGGACAGATACGGAGCATATGACAAATAGTAGGCCCTATATAATTCCTGCTAAGTGAGAACAACAACCAATAATTCCTCTGCCACTAGCGCAATCACATGCATATCGTAAGATTCAAGATATTCTATTGTATGTGGTTTATAGTCAATGAAACACTTATATGTCTTGCTTTTTTATGCCACTATTGTACTTCGAATTTTACAATATTAGTTTTTTTCCTTTAAGAAGCTAAGATGAATATTATCATCTTCATCTAACATTTCTACGAAATTCGATATAGCTTGAGACAATTGATAATTGCCCTTGAAAATATTTTTAATTCCTTTTCACTTATTTCCCAAAAGTCAATAAGAATGTCGTGTGTTCAAGTGGTACAGTTTGACATGGACTGCTCCAACTGACCAGCGAACTTTAGTCAAAGCGTTATTCATTCGAGTCTTTTGTTGCCAAATAATTGCACTTTCCTTTCAATGCTGGCATTAGCATTATGTAACCTTTATCTTCCAGTTCACTTTTAACATCCTTGAAACCTATCTAAAACAAAAAATATTCCTGTTTCAACAAAGAATTTAAGCCGTCGTCTTTTGACATAATACCTTTCAAAATGCTGGTATAATTTTGATTTGCAGCACTCAACACAAACAATTCAAATATTTTTATTCACATCAAAATAAGTCAAAAAACATTATAAAAATGATTGTTTTTATTTTTTATTTACAAAATTTGTTTAAAACTGTTGTAATAAACAACAAGAATTGAAAAAAATTGTTCAATATTGCCTATATTTCAAGCAAAAATAGGTACACAAAACCTACTAATATTTTCGAAAAAACGAATATGACATTTTTTAGATAACAGATTTCTATAGAACACATATTTATCTACGACGCAAATTTACAAATAGCTATCTTTGAAGTAAAGATTTCATTAATTTTTTTAAATATTGAAGTAGTAGCAAGACGCCGAAAAAGTGGAGTTTTCGATCGACTTTGGTGGTTCCGGGTGCGCCAACAGCTATTATGTTTTGTTCAGTAAGCGTAGTGCATGTGTTCCTCCCCTGCTGGATGTCGACATCTTAGGCTTGCGTGGGTTTCCCGTCCAGGTATCTCCCACCCGCTGGGCACCGCCCCAACCAAGACGAGCTCTAAGCCCGTGATTGGTCTCCTGGCAAGGGGGATGATAGAGCAAGGAAGAAGTAAAGATCACTGGCCCATTTGTTATTTCAGAAATGCAGAAAATTCATAAAAATCGAAACGGCACTGTAAGATAAGTTTACTCCCTCCTAGATTTTTTTTTTGTACATTTTGAAAATGTTGAGTCTTCACTTAAATTCTCCCTAAAATAAAAATTATTTTACGTTTCGTATTTGCAGGTTCTCGAGGTCGGCCAGATTGATTAGGAAGGACCATTTTTGAATAAATCATCTGAACGATTTTGGCGCTATTGTTGTTCTCATCTTGGCGATTTGCCGATATCCATTTTCTGGGTATAGAGGTTCTACAAAATATGCATTATTACTAAAAGATGTTTTTCAAAATATTTACTTATTGATTTTATAAGTGAGTAAAACATGCCATTCTCGCTGAGCTTTATAGTTCGTGAATAATCAACTAACGAACACATAAACATCTAATACCAACGTATAATATACATTTTTTTTAATCTTATCCGATCGACTTTCTAATACTATGTTGGCATTTTGAGCAGTACGTGTGTATAAATGGCATTGCCTGGAACGATATATATGAATTCAGCAAAATCAATGGCGTGGTATTTTACAATTGCGCTTAACAGAAACGCTTAACATTATAAACAGAAAGCCGGCGAAGTGCAATTGGAATGATGGAAAAAATTCCGGGTAGCAATAGAACCGTAGACTACGCTAAGTCGTAGAGGAAGAAGAAGAGCTAGAAAGATGATACGTTGTCAATTTTTTTATTGCAATTGTTTATCATGATTTTCAAGCTGAAAAAATATTACGTAGTTTTATTAGTACTTTACCATACAAATAAGTCAGTTTTAAAATTCCGAATTTTTAAGTGAGTTCATGAAAAAGCAACAACGGTTCTATTGGGTAAAGAGGGAAATTTGACTCTATCAACATGCCAGAAAGAGGTCATTCTATTAAACTCCGTACTATAATCTAATATTGAGATGCTCTACAGCACCTATATACTAGTAGAAGCTGTGCAAAAATTTCACGCATTTCAACTCCATTGCATGTTGCGTTGCGTTGGCATTGTATGCGTTGGGTTGCCATCGTGTATTTCACAATGGTTGAATGGGTTGGTTCACTGTGGTGTGCGTTAAAATATAACGGTAACAACGGTCTGCTTAAATGCTGGTCCGTCCTTTGTAACCGTTATGTTTTGGCACAAAACACAGTGAAGCAACCCATTCAACCACTGTAAAATACACGATTGGCGAGAGATCGGCAGTGAGAGATAATGTAGATTTTTACTTTCTCGCTACGGAGTAGAGAAAAAGTTATATGCGGCTGCGCAAGAAAACAGGGAATTTTCCGCAGAAAAACTTTTATTTCAGGCCCCTGGTAACGAAAAAATGGATAGATCCACTTGCTAAATTTAGACAAAAAATCCTCTAACTCATGGTAAAACCAGAATCCATGTTTTGTGGGTCCTTGATACCGAAAAATAGAATGACGGCAGAACGTCTGTCCATTCCGTCAGTGACAACAGCACCGGCACTTAGGCAGACGAAGTTAGATATATTAAAAAAAGAATTAATTTTTTGTGTATGAATATCATTTCACACATTTTAAATTTATTGTGTCTTCAGTTTAGGACATTGATGTTTTGGGCTAAGGCACATTAATACTTCATTTAATTAGATCTTTGCTTTAAAGGATATTCAGCGTATACTGCAAATACATTCTAGCAGGTTAACAATCAACAATGACATTACTTTCATTAAAAGTTGTAGTCCGTGTCCTCAGAACAAAAGTAAATTTCGAGAGATAATTTTGCGTCTATTTTAATAATTCATTTACTTTTTACAAGACTTCTTCACAGAAGAAAAATGTATTCGGTGGATTATATAGCATTATCACCGGACCATTTCTTATTCTCTCCCCTACGGATGCCTGTTGGCTCGTAGCCAAACTGAGATTTTCCAATAGGGGGACTGGACTGGAGCCTCATGATTTTAAGGGCCTCAAATCCTTGGGCCTGGAACTCTTTGCTCTTGAAGTAGTAGTACTGAAAATAATAATAATAATAATAATAATAATAATAATAATAATAATAATAATAATAATAATAATAATGAGCTAGGACACAAAGGTTTTAAGTAGCATTTCAATTAATTAAGATTTATATAACAAATAATCACTGTCATGGAATTAAAAAATCAAACTTAAAACAGTGATAAAACTAGAGGCACTATATGCAGCTGAAACACTAGCCCCAAATAACAGAGGATAACTGGATTGTTTAGAAAAGAAAGTAAGAGAAATATTAAGGAAAATACTGGGCTTTAAATACAAAATTAATGAAAGTTAATTTCTAATAATGATTTCTACAAAAAATTGAAAAACTCACAGATACAATGAGAAAGAGGAGAATTAGTTTCTATGTTAGCCATATCTTTAGAATGAATAGTAAAAGACTAACTAAACAAATATTTGAGTTTTTCAATAGAAAAACTAAGAGCATTTGGTTTAAATTAATCCAAGAAGATTTGAATAAAATAAACATTTCTGATAAATTAATTGAAAACACATAACAAGTCTGAAAAATAATTCAAGATGAACAGCTCAGATTCCCAGAAAAACCTAAATCCAAAAGAGGACCAAAAGTGTTAGAAGAGAGAAAAAAGGCAACATCTGAAAGAATGAAGGAATAATGGAAGAAATGCAACAGAAGAAAAACACATAGGAAGCAATTGATCTAACGTACCCCAATGTGGGTGAACCCGGAATAATAATAATAATAATAATAATAATAATAATAATAATAATAATAATAATAATAAATTTATTTAAGTACATTATATTACAAATACAATGTTGCACAATGTAAAATGTTAGATACATTTTTTAGTTAAGGAAATTGTACTTCGCAGAGGTTAAAATCTTTTTGTGAATCCGAAATTTCTTAAGTAATATTTACATTCTTAATACAGTGAACAAGAAAACGAGATAAAAACTTAGTGTATAATAAAAGGAACAAATAAACAAAAGCCAAAAACCAATCTCACAAAGTAAAATATAAAAGAATAACATATGAATAACATGCAAACAACATACAAAAATTTAAAGCTCAACTTATAATGGAAATAAACAAATAAATACAGGATGTATAAGAACAGACAAGAGTATTAGAATTCAACTTACAAAGTAAATACAAAGCAAACAAAAACAAAATGAATAATGTACAAGAGTATCACCATAATAAATAATGCACCTCGCACACTACAATACAAATGCATTAAATTAATACACTTATTTAAGAGAAAATTATTCAATTATACAAATTCACTTGTTTAGTTCACTAGTTCACTATTCACTAGTTTATATTACACCCCTAAATACATTTTGAACAGAGATCTCTGGAAATTGGATTAGTCAATTTCATAAACTTCTCTGGTTTTTACATTGACTAACACATAAATCTTTCAAATCTTTAAAAAAATATTAAATAACATATAAGTGTGTGTTCTTGTAGCGATTTCTAAGTTAATGTTTGGAGGTGATACATAAACATGTCTTCTTTTAATTCTTTGTATTTTATATATTTATCTTTCAAATTGATTTAATTTTTAATCATAGACATCACTAAGAAATATTTCCTAATGCTAATAATATTATATTCTTTAAACAAAGCTACATTCAGATAGTTGTAAATTTTCTTACATACAATTTTATTTTGTATTATGCCTAATGGGTGCAAATTGTTTTTGTACGCTCCAACCAAACAATAATTTCGTAAGAAGTTACTGACCAAAATAGTGCTAATCAAGCCATTAATTGGTTAGAAATAAAAAATAAACTAATTTTATAAAATACATAAAATAATTACCTTAGTTTCTGAAGAGTATTTGTGATATGCTCATTGCTTTTTAAATGTTGGTCAATATATTCAGTATACACCCAGATATTTATAACTTTCTTTTCTAGTTATTGTTCAACAGCTACAATTTTCATTAGTGCAGGTGTTGTGATTTTATTGTTACTAAGACGTAGGTTGCTATCTTCATAACTTCCATATCTGTTCACGGGCAAATAACATTGTATTAGAACTTATTACTGTATTACAAAAAATCAACAAACATTCAGATACAACGTAAAATAATGAACAAACATAAGATAATGCAGACAAATTAATTAATTTTTCATATCACTTGGGATTATTTGATACGTGCAATATTAAACGCAAACATCTCGTAATTGATGGTTAAATGAAAACTACATAAATTCTACGCAGGCATACGAGAAACGAATTTTTATTTTGATAATAATAATAATAATAATAATAATAATAATAATAATAATAATAATAATAATAATCATGTCTTTATGAATGGCGAGGCTCAGGCCATAGGGGCTGCTCTTCCGCCTAACCACTGAATTTACATACATTTAGAATAGTAACATTTTAAGAGGGGAGGACAAGCTGTACATTTACGTCTGGGAGAACAAACCTAGGGACCAACCAGGCATACGCCTTAGGCGATTGAGTAAACCCAGAAAAACCTCAATCAGGATGGCGGCTTAGGGCCGAACATTTGATGTATTTAGAGATAGAAAAATCTATTAAAAATAAATAAAAAACAAAAATAAATATAAAATTTATGGCTTAATATGCAAACAAAAATAAGAGAACAGAAAGTAAAAGAACGAATAGAAATTAATTTGAGAAAAATCTTCTTAACGTTATTCATTATTTTATTGTTTGTGAGCTACGCTAAGATAATTGATTGAATAATATTTTGGGCACGTCAACTGCTATGATCATTAGTTTCGTTAACGCAGTGATAGTTATACTGAAAGACTACACTACACACCGACTTACGGAGCCTCCCCATTCAGGCATTTCCCCCCAACAGGGCACCGCCCTAGCCCGGACAAGCTCTATTGACTGGTCCCCTAACGTGGATGGTAGTGTAGTGCGTGTAAGTGTTAGTGGGTGTAAGGGGAGAAGAGGACAAGGAAGAGAAAGGAAAGATCGCGGGCGTTCCCTGACCTCTTTAGTAGAGTTCTAAAGATCATGTAGCAAACATTATGACAGATTTGGCATCATCTCTCAGTGTAAACTCGGAGCTAGGCCGTGATTCGTTGATTGATGACTTAGAAATTAAGAATTTTACAGATTGTGCAAAAAAGTACCATTATTTCCTTCATAATTATGAAAATGGAAGTATTGATTCCGTTGAGTTCTTGCATTCTAAACTTTCACTCTTGCATGTTCCAAGCCAACACGCTCATTCGCTCAAACCGCTCACCAACTTAGTCCCCTCACTTACCTGAACCGCTCACCAACTGAAACCTCTTGCCCACCTGAATCGGTCTTCCAACTGCTCGGTACACCCAACTGAACCCCTCATCAACCCAAACCGCTCACCCATCCGAACTACTCATCAATCCACACCGCTCACTAGGGAACACTACTCAAAGCAAAGCGCTCACCATCCCAAACCGCTGACCAGCCCAGACCATTCACTAGTCCACACCGCTCACCCAAACCATTCACTAAGGCACATCGCTGATCAATGTAAATCCCTCACCAACCCGAACCGCTCACTCACCCGAATCACTCTCAAACCCCAATCACTTACTCACTCGAACCGCTCATCAATCCAAACAGATCACAAAGGAAAAACGTCCACCAGCCCAAATCGCAAACCAACCCAAACCGCTCACCCACCCGAATCACACACTCATCCGAACCACTCACGCACATGAGCAGCTGAACTACTCGCTCCGTCATCATTCCGCCCCGCTGCCTCCTCCATCTTCGTTTCCACTTCGCGGGCACCTCGAGGCCTCACCGCGCTCCGCCACGGCCTCCAGCCCTCCGTTCCACACTTACTTTCTCATCAGCGTCTAGCTTCCACGCGCGCAGTCTGCTGCTCCAGTGTTCCTACACACCTCGCTGTGTGTCTCAGCTGGAATCATGAATGTTGGCCCTCCAGCCCCTGGCCCCGCCCGCCCGCCCGCCCTACTCCGCTCCGGCCACCCCCTCCGCCACCGCCCCCACACTCCACCTTTGCCGCCTCCGCATTGCCTCCGCCCCCGCACACGCCCCCGCTCGCTCACGCGTGCGCTCCTCCCTGCGCAGGAACGCGAGGACGCCCGCCGCGAGGACAACGAACTGCAGTGCGTCGCACACGTGCTCACGTTGGACGGCGAGGTGCTGGCGTGAACGGAAGCTGCTGGCCGGCACCGCTGCTCGATCTGCGGCGACAACGCCCGACCAGCTGTCCGTGTGCTCATGCACGTCCTGGGCCCGGCCTCCTGTCGCACACATGTCCGCTCGAGCCTCGTCTAACCACTCCGTTCGCGCAGCCGGCTCAGAGGGCAAGCGGCCCGGTGTGACCTTTGCGCGGCAGTGCACACTCCGACGCTCGAGCCTTCTCGTCGGCCTGGAGTGCGCTGCCCGCGCCCGCGCCGCTACGGCCACGACTGCCCGCCGCCTGTGGGCGGGCACGGCCGCGCACGCCCCCGCACGCCAGCGCCGCCCCGCACGCTCTGCTTCAACCCTTCAGTACTTCTTGCGTAAAGGAGGCGGATGGCAAAGGGCTGCCTTTTCATTCCTTGCATTTAAGTAAAAATTAATACAATTCTTTCCCATTCATAAAATTCGCCTTCGATGTGTTTCAAAGCTACGCACACTAAATGCGCTCGTTGCACACAATCTTCTTAATTGCTGTTTCCAAAATTGCTGATCACGTAACATTAATTTTTAACGTGCTTCGCTTTCTGAGTCAATGCCCTTTTATATCATTCGTTAATTTAGAAAATTATACATTTCGAATAATAGAATCCATTAAATTTAAAGTTTAGTTTTCTTCAAAAGATATTGTACACTGGAATCCCACAGGCCCGGATTCATTTCTTAGAGTTCTTGGACCAATCAACTTCACACTGTTTTCTATTTCGTTGACTGTCACATAAGGTCTTACGACGGGCGTGGGCCATCAGCGAATGTTAAAAGCTCTCAACGAGACGTAGTTGAAAGTTCAAAAGCTTTCTTCATATGACGCAGCTCTACGGTCATCATATGTGACGCTACTCGACTTAACCCTACGAATTATTTCAACATAATCTATCTGGATTTAGCGCTTCTTCTATTAAATTTTAGGGGACAAACACATTATATTTCAAATTGACGTAAACCAAAATTACTTTAACACACGTTTTCCGCCCCCCTGTAAATCCGCGACACGAGCCCGGGTTCACTGGGTCCGGGGAGAAATCCGGGCCTGCAATTCCGTTGCTGGCAGTGCGGAACGATCGAAAGCACATCGATGCGGCGCTGGCGAGCGGAAACAAAAGTCGACCGGCTCTGCCCGCCTTCGCGCGCTTCTTGCGAGGCCAACGTCGAGAGGCGCGGGCGCCGGGCGCAACTGCTCCAGGTTCGAAGAACGCGTCCTCCGCGGCTTGCGCCATCAGGCACTCTCTCCAAGAAGTCGGCTGCCGGTTCCGCCCCACTCGGTGGCGTAGCGACGCGAGACTAAACGGATCCACAGCGGCACCAAGCCACAACTTTTTACACGTGGGGCTCTTCTATTATCGCCATGAACTTCAGACCTTGAGCTTAAACCCTATCAGTTGCATTATTGAAAAAAAAATATGGGATCATGCATTATCTAAAAGGGTTACACATACATCACAAACGCAGGAACGAAACTTAGCGCACTGAAATCCCTCTGAGTGAGAATGACATGCCCACCCAGCTGTTGAAATGAGGAGCTTTAGACTAGGGCTGCTGAAATGAGCCTTTGGTGTGACATGCCCCAGAGATTATCTGGTTAGTGAGTTAGCCCGTCGGGGGAAGTAAGACGGAGGGGAGGAGAAGGGAGGGGTGAAGACACTGTGGCGCTATCGGCTCTAGTCTAGTGAGAGGCACGTAGCGCGCGGGCCAGTGCAGCGGGCACCTGCAAGCACTCAAACCTTATTTCTTGCACTAGTGTAGCTCTTCTCTAGACTCCCGCGCAAGTGGTGTTCTGTATCAGTTTGCAAGATGCGCGCGCAGGATTTCCTTGCAGAAAACGAAGCCTGGGAAGACAGATCGGGATCTGTTTCTCCTAAGGTTCTCTTGTGTTTCTATTCTCCTCGCTTGTGCAGTGTGACGATTTCTACCTTCCACAAAGAGAACAGACTCGAAATTGAGGAATAAGTTCTTTAAATATGTAGATTATATGAATTTTTCCGCTTATTTTTGTCCAGCTGATAGTGTCTGCTTTGTGATCCGTCGCACTACGCCACCGGTGTTTTTTCTCTTTCGGCGACTTCATTGAGCGAACGCGCCATTGAAAGCACGGGCGAAAAGAGGATTTGCCAACACTCGAACTGCAATGAATGCCTCAATACGTTTACATACCGTTCTCCCTCACTCTCCGAAGGGAGATAAAATGCAGTTGCCTTCTTGGTATGAGAGCCTTCGTAGTAGGGATGTTGCGATTCTTCCACGATATCGATACCAGTATCAAAACAGTATTGCAAGTGGACTTGATACCACTTACGATCCTGGATAAATAAAATAATGACATTGTGTCGAAAGAGAAGTGTCGATACAAGTATCATATCATTTTTCTTAAAAATGTACATTTTGTATGCAAATTATCGATTATTACAATGATTAATAATACGTAAAAACATTCTTCAAAAACCGAAGTTAGAAAACAGGATCAGAAAACACGTGTGTGTATGTGTGTGTGTGTATGTGTATGTGTGTGTGTGTGTGTGTGTGTGAGAGAGAGAGAGAGAGAGAGAGAGAAAGAGAGAGACAGAGAGAGAGAAAGAAAGAAAGAAAGAGAGAGAGAAAGAAAGAGAGAGAGAGAAAGAAAGAAAGAGAAATGTGGGGAGGGTGGCAATAGGGACGTGCGGAAAATTAGCTTCGTTTTGCCGAAGTAACAATGCTGATATCAGTAATAGGTACCATGTTAGAATGGAATGAAGCAATTAAATGATCGAACCCGGGTATCTGTTCCAAAACAACTGGTATCGACAGTAATGATAACGATCATAATATCACATCGCTAGTTTCGTGACATCCCTACTTCTTCGTTTTCTATTACCCTTCGCCCATCAGGCCCTGTTTTACGAAAGAAAGTGGCGGGTATTTTTTTTTTTTGCACATATGATATAAAAAACGTATGCATCTCTTCCCGCTGTGACAATTTTTCATCTAACGCACTAAAAGTTGTTTATACGACAAATATGTAATAATCTTCTCAACTGTTACCAAGAAAATGTCTTTCTAGGAGATGTTTAAAACGAAGCACTTTCTTTCGTAATACAGGAAAAATGTTTACCCTGACCTTGCTTTTGTTCGAAAACCATTCACATGACAGCCATCATCGGCGTTGTTGGTCGATTTTCATCCAGTGTTGCTAACAAGGTAAGATGCTAGCTTCCAAAAAATGGAACAAGAATATCAAAAGGTATTCAATTTTTTGTGTGCTGAGGCGGAACGCCTATCACTCGTCCATTCACTTTACCCTGCACTAATGAACTACCAGCGTCAACCCGCTGACGCTTTTGTAAGGCTCAGTCAAATGAAATCCTTCAATTTGTTTATCTTGCAATTCATTGAACAAAAGGCAGGTTCAACAATATTGGTTTTCTGTACACTCTCTCAGGCGAGTAAAGCAAGTATCGCAACACGTTGAAAGTGCATGGATGTTTCTAGAAAAAAGTGTTGAGCGCATCCATGTTACGTATGCATTTCTTGTGTCTTATCTTACCCGATCACAAAGAGGGTATCATTCCATCTCAGAGTTCCCGGAATCTCTTGTATGTTTCTAACGAAATATGTACACAGCGACAGTGCTCTTTCGTTCTCTGCTGACGTTCAGCGAGTTTCATTACATAAACAAATTCAATTATTCTAAATTCAGCACATACACAAATACAATTACACCGGTCTCCTTTGGTGCTTCATGCAGTACAGTCAAATTTGCGCTGGAGCTATGTGCATGTGTAAAGTAGCAGATGCTGAGACCAGTGAATTAATATTTAGACCAAATTTGTTGTTGCTACCAACTTTCAGAAAAAAATAATGTTCGCAAATTTGATAGAAATTTAAGGATTGCATTTAACTGATCTGCAGGAAAATGAATAGGACACATGTACAAAATCTTTCGAGAATGTATTCCTCGAATATCAAATCGAATAACTTCCTGGTTAGGATATCTTGCAAATTAATTTTGCATATCCTATTATGTTCGGATAAGGAGACGTTTTCTTCACTTTTAGTTCGCTTTATCTGCGAAAAAAAGAAAGAAAGCGGGAAATTTTATTTATTTTACTTAAAGGTTGTGAACACTAGTCAATGTGCACAATTCATAATCAGTGTCTTTCAAGGCATCTCTCGCAAAGTTAAAAGTTCAAAGTTACAATTCTGGAAGCATTCACTTCCTAGTGAGCCATCTACATTACTTTGAGAGATTTGCAACCATGTCGTCGAAAAAAGCACTTTATTAGTGCTTATATATTTACGCTTATCCTTTTACTGCAAAGGAAACTTGTGAGGATGGACATAGCACGGAACTTTTCTAAGTCTTAACATCCATCAGCAAGATGCCATTGAATCATGATAGTTGTAAAATAACTATCAAATGATAAGTGATGTTATCTCAACAAATAGTATAAGACAAAAGAACAAGTTAATGAAGAAATTCTTAGAAAGTGTGAGGCTATCCCGTTTCCTAAACACCAAAAATTACTTGAGTTAACTATATATAATCCAGTGCCAGAAATGTAATGCCGGCACATTTGTTGACTTACTACAATTTAAAAGTTCATGTTTTAGATCCTATTGGAACAATTTTTTAACTAGTCTAATTTGCTGAATATGGAAAGTCGGCCGTCAAAAAAGAAAAACAATATTTCAGACGACCAGCAGTAACAAATAAGTTATCCGTTGCCTGACCTGTTAAATAAGCAATAGCAAAATATATTATGTAAAATCACAATGTAGAAAGCCGTTCTTGGTTCTCTGGAGAGCAGAAACTCTTCATATAGCGCAATGTTACCAATTTTTGAAAATAGTTATAAGACATTTTCTGCAGCAAAACTGAACACTATATAGGAGATTCTGAAGTAGCGAAGAGAAAGCTTCCCTTCACGCCATTTTCTAATACCATGTGTGATATCCAAAGAACCCTTTTCACAATCTATTCGTCGCACTCAAAACTTTACCCCTTTCTCAGAACAATATGTCACGATGGCGTCGTACGGAAATGGTCGTAAAAAGACATAAGCGAAACCAACCTTACTTCCCTTCTAGCACAATGTGGCAACGCTACGTTGTCACCGTCTACATAGCCTTGTCGTCTCCAATACCTCCACACACCGCCTCTGTCGCTGTCACTGTTACTTTTGAGGTGTACTGAAGGGCTTCGGTAATTCATCATCCATTGATGCAATCGGTTGTACGATATCTTCAACAGCGATTCTATCTACTATGTCTGAAGGTCATGTTATAGATAGATTTATTATTTCTGCAAGTAGGTTTATACAATTAGCATATTACAATTAGGAATATTAATACAATGTAATTTTGAATCATTTTAAGACACCAACAACATCAACATCA